GACACCTTTGATATCGTGTGGGTGCTAACAAGCTTGACAATTTGCGAGTTGGCTGTGTAACGTGAATCCACTTTTATTGCAGACAACTTGATGTTCTATTGAAAAGTGTGGAACAAAATGATCAGCAGTTAAATATATAATTCTCTAATCAATAAATAGATAAATCTTTTTTATTTTGATTGTATATATTTTAAATGATCTATTTCTGATTGTATTGAGGGCCTTTGTGGAAAGCAGGGCTTGTACTGGTTCAGAGCTCACCCTTGATAAAGACTTTAATTTAAAAAATCTATTTAGATCAATGTTAAGTTCCATTTAAATGAAATAAATAAGATCACATATATAACACAATTAAAAACATTAATATTCTTGTGAAATTTAGTTTTCCCTTTTGTTGTTGTTTCAATACCTTATCTTTACATTTAACTTGCATAAAGAGTTTAAAAATGATTTAAACTTACGCCAAATGGCACCTCTGGGTTGTTGCACACAAGGCAAGGGTCACTCTCTAAATAAAAACCATCAAATTCAACTAGACCAGCAAGGTTGCTGAAAACAAATTATACAATATTGAGAAAAATAAACCAATGGAGAAAAATTAATAAACAAAATATAAATTTAATTATTAATAAATATAACTTTATTCATTCTTTATTTTACCATAATTAAAAAAAAAAGCAAATTCACTCAAAGAATATGTATCTATAATAAACATACCTATAAATGTTCATACTGTCATATAATAATAACATATTTCAAAACTTGAACAGTACATTACTGGCGTTTGTGTGCAACTATACTAAGAGATTGTAAAGCTTACTTGTAGATGTTTGAGTTTGGATGATTTGCTAGGACCAGGTTTTGGGCCTTCAGGAGAGCTGTAGCTTTCTGCACATACTGCTTTGACTATGAAATATAAAGAATATTGCAAATGTGTAAGACACAACACAACGATTACTGCGTGCAAAAATGACCATGGTAACAACTAGGACGCTTCTCTCAAAAACAATTACTTTTTATGCTTCTTTTTAATGAACATCGATGCTTCTTTTTGTTATTATCTTGTTGTTATAAGAGCTTTGTAAAGTTTAAAATACACAGGTCAGTTACCTTGGCAGAGTTGTAGGGAACTTTAAGGGAAAAGTAACCAAGCAGGTCAACAAACTGAGCTGACTTGCGGCCATATGTTGACAGCTCAGGCCATAGATCCCACATCAGGGTCAGCAGATTCTCCTGCAGCTGGCCAGATGAGCTCCTGGTGAAATATAAAAAAGGAATTAGCATAATTCAAAATATCTTGAGACTACTTAACTCAATTTTTGAAGGGATGTTTACATAGGACTCTTATTATTAGGCCAAATAAAAAAAATTATTGTGTTGGCTACGCCCGACCGACCCAAATTTTACAAAATTCAGGGTTGGCATTTTAGCTTTTTTATTTTGACTACAAGGAACAATATTTTTTTTTTCATGAGCTTATAAGGCTGGAATGGCCTTGAACTAGGCTAAGGCGCCAAGTCCTAGCCTATTTTGGTGCATGGTATGCGATGCAAATCCGAAATTGTTGTATTATTTGTGTATTTTCTACTTTCTAAGTGTAAACACATTTCTGGTTGAAAAAGAAAAACAAAAAAGTTTTCCTACTGACCTACCCATTTTTTGGTTTTTCCCAAAAACGTGGCCAACACAAATTTTTTTTTTTTTGGCCTTACTGAGTAAACCATTTAAAAATTCATTCATATTATTAGCCTATTATAGACGAATATTATTGATTATAAAATTATAATAGCAAATAATATAATAATCATAAAGTTAGGCTTTTTTTCAACAGCCATAAAAGGATAAATATGGGATATACACATTGTAACAAGAACAGATGGAATAATAAATACCGTCTTACATTAATATAGCAAATTACCTCAAGATTAATTAATATATAATTTATTTCTTCACTTACTTGAATATATGGTGGACAAGCTTGTGTGCTTGCCAACGTACTGAGGTGTTGTTTGACTCAAGCAGGAAGAGCCGAATAAAGTGAGCCAGGGTTTGATTGTTGATTGACTTGTTGAATTGATTGATGAGTTTCTGGCACATGTTGTCATCATGTTTCAGCTGCTCGTCAGAAGAATCTAATATTAGGAAATGGGCATGTTATTGAAGTCCATTATTTTTTGTAAAATAGGTTGGTTCTTTGTTGTTTCTGCTCACGGAAAATCAGCTGTCTGTGAATTAATGGCTGCCAGCACACTCATTATTTTAAGGCAGCATGGGCACAATATAGATTTTGACTATATTTTTGAAAGCATTACTGAGGAAATGTATTATAATCCCTCAAACCCTATGGTTACCAATCAGTTTCTCTATTGATATAAACTTCAATAAAATGAATCACTTACCTTCAGCTTTTTCTTTTTCTTTTTCCTTCTCCTCTCTCTTCTCTTTCTTATGCTTGCTGGAACTTGAGCTTGATGAGGTGGACTTGGTGCCACAGAGGGCTGCTGTCAGTAGATGCAGGAGGGTGGGAGCAACGCCTTCATCCAGGTAGAAACTAGCATGTAGTAGACTGGACAGTACATCTGAAATTACCACACAAACAAGATTAAAGGTTATACATTTATACAGATACCAGTCTTTCAGAATGTGTATGTAAGTTACAATAAGTGAACATAATTATTATGGAGAAACGCAAGTTATTTTTACTACAAGGGACATGTGCAATAACATTAGATGATGATGACTCAATATTCATTAAAAATTATTAATTTTATGGTTAAGTGGTGAATGTCAAATTTTTTAAATTCAAAAATGTACAATTTAATTAATGAACAGTTTATAAACTAACAAATGTTCAAGCGCCTCGAGGTTGTGTCAACGTGAGGCGCTATATAAATCCAGAATTAATATTTATTATTAAATCATTATTTTGATTTATGTTATGTCGATAAGACATTAGATTAACAAGTAAACTTAAAATAATTTTTAAAAAATAGTATAAATGGTTTTTAAAAACCTATCTTATCCCATTTTCACATTCAGCAATAAACCATAAGAAGAATTATATTATCTTCTAGGTTTGGATAATATAGATGTTATGATGGTAATATCCATTTACTGAACCAGTCATCAAAAGTTGATATTGCTAACAACAGTTCTTCAGTAACAATTTAAATGTATGAATCTGGCAAAAATATACACCACTTACTGTCTTGGCGCAAACAGAACTTCTGCCAGTTGTGTGTACGAGTCGTTGCTACCTCCTGACATGCTTTCAAATGCTCAATCTGAAGAAAAAACAATCAAAATAATATTCAATTATAAACACCTGAATCTCTGTGTGCAGAACGATATGAAAACATACAGTTGTCTGATCAGATCATGTAGAGCAAACTACAATGACTTAAAAGAGAATTATCCGACGCTACGACCCCCGACAACAAACTTCCAGACTGAGTTACCCAATCAAGAGCCGCCGCAAACTTAGCAAAGGGTTCTCCGATTGTCTAAGAAGTTTGACACTCGGTTTGGAGGCCCCACACGCCGAGCACAACTGCTTGCGCGTGGACATAGCATAAGAACAGACTACAAATCAAGCTAATGTAAAGGATATGTCGTTCTCTCTAAAACTTCTTGAAAATAAGTCCAAAATCCAAGGGAAAAAAATAAAAAATAACGATCCAAGAATTCTCCTTGCAACAGAAACAAAGAAACACAATCTGAGACACATGGTCTTAGCTCCTTCAAGGAACAATGTCAAATGAGGAGAATTATTAGGGAGACAGTTCTATTTTTTTTTGGAGGGGTGTTTCATTTCGAAAACAATAGCAATTAGTCAGTTTATGCAGGTAAGTATTCACGGAACAGACATAAGTAACCCCTTACCCAGGAGTGGTTTCAGGCCTTGTTTGGGGTGATTTCAATTTAAAAATAAGGAATGCTTGCAAATCAACTTACCAATGAAATGAGTGTGTCATATGGAATAGAGGCTGGAACTGCCCCTGTTTTGGTCAAGTCGACTCCATGTTTAAAACAGATGTGCCTTTCCAAAAAAAAAAATTTTACACAGTAAGTGTAACAAAATATAATACATACTTGTTTCCATTCTATAATATATTATTTAATTATCATTTTAATGTTACAAATATATTGCCAATTTGCAACACATATTTATTTAGCTTTTGCTACAATTAAGGTAGGTGATTTCTCTGAACTTACTTGATGTCTTTCATATGAGACTCCAGTGAGTGAAGATCTCTTAGCTGCCGGTACAAATCTTTCTTTCCGCAGATGAACAACAAGAGTTTACGGACTTGGCGGCGGACAAACGGAGTCTGTTGTGTTATCATATACTATGCAAATAAAATAAGATACAAGATACAAGAAATTTTATTATTAATCGTATAAAAACATATAAAGAAATTTTGTTTATGGATTCAATAACACATGAATGCATAAAGTTGTATTTTTTAGTAATCACTAGTATAAAATTGAGATTAAGAAATTTATAAGATACTGAGTAAAAAAATGTCATCCTTAAAGTCAGGCTCCGGAGGAAAAAAATGTTTTGATATGTTGTAGAACTGATTTTTCTAAGATAGAAAAAAGTTGTTTGACGAAAAACTGGGGAACGGTGAATTTAAAAACTGGGGGAAAAAGGGGCGTAACTGCCCATTTTTACACCTTATTCCCCCAGTTTTTAAATATTAAAAAATCTGTATCTCATTCACCGTTCCCCAGTTTTCGCCAAACAACTTTTTTCTGTCTTAGTAAAATCAGTTCTACAACATACCAAAAAATTTTTTCCCTCCAGAGCCTAACTTTAAGCTTTCCACACTATCAAATTTAAGGGACAAATAAAGGTGAAATGCCCATATTTGGGTGTAATAGGACCTTATCATGTCCTGAACTGAACACATACCTCACAGAGATTGAATATCCAGGCTTGGTCAAAGACTGGATGACCAACAGATGGATTGGAATCACATATCTTCTTAATTTGGTATGGCAAACGGAGCACCATCTCGGTCAACAGCTGAGTGTAGGCCTCAAAAACATCTCCTGCATGACCCTGTACATATGGAAGAATCAGCAAAAGTCAGTTGAAACAAACCTGATCATGGTTATGCAGCTCTCTTAATATCTGTCTGTTAAGTTATACAGACAAAATATGGTGCATGCTCATTTTTAGTAGATTTAGTCTCTGACAGATTCAGATATAGTTTATTCTACATTTGTATTATCATTGTTTGTTACACTGGGTTTGAGCAATAAATAAACAAAACTGATATAAACAGTTACTTAACACAATACCCTAATCAACACAGTTCATAATTTATCTGGCAAACCTATCATTTGCAATACAATTGCATTATTTTAAAAATTAGTGCCTGTTTTTTTCAGTCTCAATTATCTGTTTTCCGATCTATGAATTCTACAGATTACAATCGCCAGTCGACACTTTCCAAATTTAGATGAAAATCCAATTTTCAGAGTTTAAAACTGTCCTGTTTTTGAGTGATTAATATATATTTTGTTATTTAATTAAAGCAACTTGAGATGATCTGTCTGGAGTAAAAGGGGCCATGAAAAAAGAACTACAATCCAGTACATAATCAGTACAATATACATAAAGAAGATTACAACTTGAGTTTGATTTGCCTATTCTGTAGGACTCTACTTACCTTGACATACTGTCTGAGAAAAAAGGGGGACATGTCTGCTGGAGGCAACACTGGATGAGGCTTTAGAAGATTTGATGCCACTGTACCCGACTCCTATGTGCAGAAGAAATAGCAAACATACTTTGATCAATAACTTTACTTAATAATAAAAATAATCAAGGTCCATGGTTATTTAATTCATTTCCCTGCCAAAGCCGACATTAAATGTAAAAATAACATTAAGAATCAAATTCTATAAAAAATGAACAAACCTATAGGATCACAGGCAAGTCTGAGATAAGAAAGTTTAATAACAAAATCATTAAACTTTTGTTACGCCATGTGTTGTAAAAATATGGTTTTTGAGGTAAAGTTAAATCCTGGCTGGTTGTCTCAAAATTTCGGTGTGATTGTGCCGTCTGTCTTCAGGAGAATGTAAATTTTAAAAACCAGAAAATGGAGATCCAATCCAATATTATGTTTAGCTTTAATTGCATTGTCCTCAGGAATTAATTAATAAGTCCCTATTTCCAAATAATTATACCAAAACAAAAATCAACCAATGAAAATGTTTGGACAATGGAGACATCAAAATTTGGAAAAGTGATGGTGTTTCTATAATTTTATTAAATTAACAACAGATAAATAGATGTGATGGTAAACAGATAAATAGGTGTCTCATTGATAGTGACTACTGATGGTAAGATAAACAGAGATTACAGAAAAGCTTAGAAAAAATTGCTGAAACAATAATGAAAGCATCTTTAAACAAATATATATGACCAGAAGAACTCTCATTACTACAAGTGACTATATTTAATTAATTAGGCCTACATGTCTTACAATCATAGGCTATATTAATATGATTTAAAAAAAAAGAAATAAACTAAACAATACGTCAAATAATATTGTATTGCTGCAAAATAAATGCAAACATGGCTAACCTCATCTGGAGATGCTTGCTTCCAATGCTCCAGGAGTGACTTGAGGATGTGTTGGCAGTACTCAATAGCACCGCTGCTCAGCATGGCGGTGGCAGTGGTGTGCGAGATCATTGCCGATGTCTGTAAGAATCATTATATTATTCCTAATTAACATGTTGTTGAAGGAATTTTGCAAAAGATTAGGCATGATAGCGACAGATGAAAGATGAAAGAAACAAAAGGGAATAACAAGGAGCAGAATGGAAAGAAACAGATGAAATGCAAGAGCAGTATTTAAAGACTAAATACAGCTTAGGAAGTCTGAACATATTATTTTTTAAAGAGGCCTTCTGTTGCTAATACGTAACCAAGATATTTTAATTACATGTTTATATAATATTTTAATATTTTGATCTTGGTTTGATTATATATTATTATACTGGTATGGGCATTTATAATATCGCCTCTTTGGGGTTATAAAGCGCAATTCGTTTCCCTGGTCATTGGGTCCACATGCTTAAGTGTTGTTGCTGGTAATCAGTGCAGGAGCAGGCAACCCCACCAGGTACCCATTTAAACGGTGGAGAGAAGAAATGCATATAAAGTGCCTTGCTCAAGGAAATAAGAGAGGGATTCAAACCCTGACCTAGATGTTATTATATTTTCATATAAAATATATGAGCCTCAAATTCTGTCACAACTTATGTGACAGAATTTTTAACTTTGTTTTTCGCTGCAATTCTTCTTTTTCAAATTTTATTGTATTTTGACCGATTTCACTGATGATTTTGTACATGTACATTTTTAAATTTAAATTTTATTGATTGGCCTATTTTACTTGAATATTTTATGCTACTTTAATTTATGTTCTCATTGGCATCGGAGAGCCACTAGACAGTGATTCAGTTCACTTTTTGACAATCCTGTCTGGTCAACTGAGTGTTACTTTTTGCTCTCTGTTATCTTGTGTTTGTCAATTTTAATGTTTTTTGGATGAAATAAAATGAAACAATCAACTGCACAAAAATAATGTCACACCTTCCTCAACTTATTTTCCTACTTGTCAAATCAATTTCTATTTATAATATACTTTGTTAAGCAAACCTCAGAAGATGTGGTCTTTGTCCCAGACTTGGACCGTGACATGAATACGCTTAGCAGACGCATTATGATCAGCTGCACCTCGTGATGTGGTGTTCTCTCTGCGATGTTTGTGAAGTCACGGCAACTCATGTTCAACTCGCCTAGCATGGCAACCAGGAGATTATCCATTGCTCCACAGTCTTTATCTTCCTCTAGATCCAAATCTGAACTCAGCATGAGTAAAACCTACAGTAGAGATATCGTTTGAAGTTTTAAAATTAATATAGGCATTATACAATCTCAAATAAATTACTCAAATCCCTTTTTGACATCAATAAAACTTCCTTGAGATCAAACATTAGTAAGATATATGTATTATTATATAATACATTTTAGATTTGCAAGTTATATTTTTTCAAAATGCAATTGCAAAAGTTCATAACCCCTACCTGCATAAATGGAATGGCCCGAACTCCACCAACATCTCTTAGTTCAGGGAGATACTGCAGGAACCTATCCAGTAGCATGATTCTGAGTAGATGCATTCTGTGTGTGGCATCTGCATCACTCTCCAGTAGGTCAGAGCTATCTGGTTGGTTGGAGTTTTGGCCTCCACCAACACTTGATATGCTCTCTGGCGGGTTGGAATTTCCCTCATGAATAGTGTCGCCAAAGGTGCTGCTACGTCCACTAACGGCTGAGTAAGATGAAACTGTAAAAAAAGTAGGAACGTTGATTTGAAGCTATTCCATTAACAAAAATGGATAATAATAACAACAAAAAAATTGTTATCTTACCACTGTGTTCTCCAGTAATAGAATCAGCTGCACTGCCACCGCTCTCTGATCCACCGCTGCCTGTCTGCTCAGCTGGTGAGGTCCTCAAGGTAGAGCCATCTGTGGCAGCTGTGCTGCCTTCATCATCACTTGCTGCAGCTGCAAGTGAGAGGAATAGCAGAGCATTATTATACAATAACAATAAATGCTTTCGGTACAAGATATGAACAGAAAATTCTATGTGGTGTACAGCAAGCATTTAATATATTAGATATATCTTTTTAGTGTTTACCTCCTCTTTCACACAAATAATAGAAAAGTAAAATGTTAGCAAATACACATGAAATGTTATCATTATTAATGATATACCTGAAGCTGTTGTGTCTGAGAGGGTTCCTGCCTCCAGTGAGGATGAACTCTGGCCTTGTCCTGATAGTGCCATACCCTGTAGGTTTAGCCTAGCTGCAGCTGAGCCACCTTGCTCTTGAAGGCTTAGGGCTATAGCCAGCTCCATCATGGCTTCATCATCTGCATCAGGTGGGAGGTCTAGCATAGGGGCTAGGCTACCACGTCCACCAAGCAGAGCCTCCAAGTTGAGGTGGTTGGCTCCAACTGCTCCAGGGATCTCACCAGGCTCTAGAACCATTGGTTCCTGGTCCTAACATAATAAAATAAACGATAATGGAAAAAAGATTACAATATTGTGAGTGGAGCTGTGTAGCTTGGTGGTTAAGGTGCTTGCCTTCAAAACCTTAAGGCTGGGTTCAAATCCTGTCAAGAGACAAGGATAATTTCTTCACAACCAATACAATTAAATTCCTATTAAGATTTAGTAAAGCATCTTGTTTGTTTGTGAAATGGATTGACCTGTGAGCAGGACAGTAGCATTCATAACACTGAATACCTATTGGCAATTATTTGGCCCATGTGCATTAAGCTTGGTTTCCATACAATCACTACATGCAAATCGAAGAAAGCTTTTGGTGACGCCAATTTTTTCTGTCAAATCAGGGAGCCATCAGAATTGCGTAGGAGACTGCTTTGCAGTACAACGATTGCACTTAAAACACTGTAGAGACACTGCAGTGACAATGTAGCAATTTCAAGGAAACCAGGCTTAAATAAACAAATAAAATGGAAATGAAATATTGTATACTTGCAAATCAATAATACTGACAAAGACTTTAAGATGTTTCTATTAGTCCAAAAGTTAGATAACTAATTGAAAATTGCATATATGATTATCATTTAATATTATGCTTCTAGTGTAAATTTGATTGAATAATTGATATGTCAATTAAGCCTACCACTATCTCAAATCCTGACTCTTCTGGTTCCTCTACTATTGCTTCAGGCTCTCCAAGAGCTTCTCCTCCTCCACCACCTGGCGGTCCCTTATCATCTCCATCATCGTCCTCCCCTCCGGTTCCACCAGCGTTTGGCGAGCTGCATCTAGGTGGCGATGGAATGATGACTCGACGTCTGCGATGTCGTGGTCGCATCACTTTTATCAAAGCCTGTTTACAAGCAAAGCTAACAGACTGGTCCTGAAAGATACAATAGTTGTATACACCATTTTTCAAGAACCTGGAAACTACCACTGGGGGACTACCAGAACCTAGCATTTCGCTCTATGTAGTTACCATCATGAAGTAATTAAACAATAAAACTAAATTACTAAAGAACAGAAATATTTTGGAGTGGAAAAAGAACAAAATGTTGACAATAGAAACCTAATTCTTTAAAAGCTATTTAAATGTTTACATACAGTAATTAGCAAAAGATTGTATGCTTCTGCTATTATGCTAGGACTAGCTTGAGCAGTGTTATATCAAAAAGTATTTTGTTTAGTATTCATAATTAAATAAGGAATTTATGAAAGAAGAGGTTTGAGGGCAGAACACCATATTCTGATGTATAATAAATCACTAAATAAAGTGTATAGCTTACCTCTGACATAAGCATTTTCATATATAGCTTGGTTGCTAGGTTGATGTTATTAACATCATTGGCAGCAAAGGCATGTATGATCTCAACTAGTGCACCGACAGTCACTTCAATATTTGTCAGACCTGAAAGAAGGTTTAAAATCAAGTAATGCCCAACAGTGTAAATATATAATGCTGGTCACATACCGGAAACTAGTGATCAGGAGGGGAGAGATAGGACAAATAAAAACACAACAGTTTTTCTTATTTATGGAATAATTATTTGTAGTGGAGATGTAGCTTGGTGTTAGAGAAACATGGCTTTCAATATATGGTCCTGGGCTCAAGCTCTGGGACAGCACTGTGTATTTTGCTCATGACTCCCCAAGCCTTGTAATGAGGCTAAGCAATACATTATTTGCCTCTGTAGTAGCATTTTTTTAGAATTCATCACCCACCTTCAGGAAAGGTGGGTGCTGAATGAAAATATTACATTTAACGCAAGGTGCAAAACTAAGGATGGAGCATATTGATGGCAATAACTACACCATAAATTGGTTGACATCTCTTTCAAAACTCTGCGACAAATTCTTGTGGCAAGACCACACATATTCTGTTTAACAGGAAGTTGAGTAAATTATTGGAAATTTAATAAGCAAACTAAAACCTACCTGGGAGACAGGCTGGGGCCAGGATACTTAAAGATGGTTTACTGTCATGCAAACGCCAGAATGCATCAACCATCTTGACTAGGAAGTGCTGGTTCTCCTCTTCATTCAGGTCTGACAGCTTCAGCGGCTCCATTGGTGAGGTCATCATTTTCTTGGAGCTTCCTGGTGTTCTTTTGGGAGATTCTGCTGAGCAAAAATAAATTTTATTTAGGGACAGTTCAGAATTGGTAATTATTGTTTTATGTAAATGATATTACAAGTGTAGTACTGTAATAATACTGAATAAATATGTAATGAAATAAGCAAGAGCTGGACGGAGCCTAGTAATGAAAATGACAAACATAAATTTGTCCTGGGTCCCAAAAAGAAAAAGTAAGTAGAGACATCTAAAAAAAGGCAATGAATGGATGAGAAAGAGGGAACCAAAGGTTTGACATCATGCAGAACAGCTAATAAAGATCATAAAAACTATAATTTATTAAAATGATTTATTACGAACCATCTTCTACCCATGATGATGTATGGTGACGGTTAGCAAACTGCACAAGGTTAACAGGCCTAGCTGCAGCCACTGTACGTGCAGTAACGACAAGGCTCTGATAGCCCTCAGGGTCAAGTTCTGGTGTTTCATGACTCGTGCCTAAGCATTTTATCACATGGTTCAGTTGGGCTTCATCCTGGAATAAAGAAGTTAATGACAAATTGATTCATATATATTTAAACAACACTGCATTTACACAGCAAATATTGTATATACACTGTTCATTATCATTAATTATATGATTGATTGGTTGATTGATTGATTGATTGACTGACCTTGTGGCTGTGGTAGGTTGCAGTGTTAGGCTGAAGCAAGGCAGCTAGCAGCATCTTGGTCTGCTGCTGGACACAATTAGGTGTTGGCATTATCAGTAACTCTGTTGCTAGGTCTAACATCGTCTGCTTAATAGACTCCTTTAAATAAACACAAATACCCTTAATATTAACATAAATTTATAACCTCCTGGACAAATGAGATAAATTATTATATATAATACACTTTATTTTCTATTATGTTAATTTTAAATACAGACATATCATAAGAGCAAAAAAAAGATTATAACATAACAAGATATGTTATTGGGTCTGCAGGCTTAATGTGCTGAAATTAGCACAGGAGCATGCACGCTTAAGTGCCTTGCTAAAGGAAACAAGCAAAATGCACAGTGAGAGACTGAACATGACCTCGAGGTTGAAGAACCTAGCCATTCTCACTTCAATTCTTTGAGTGTCCAAACAGAAAAATCCATTTAAGTAAACCAGCTTGGACTTCAACACAACAACCTCAGTTGAAAGGTCTTGGGAATAATGAAGTAAAATCAATTTAACACATTGATAAGAAAATTCATTCAGCAATTTAATAATGTATTAAAAAAATATTATTTGTATTTTCTTAATGATGTTTAAACATTACCTTTGCTACCATGGGAACCAACGATACATATCCATCGAGCACTTCGACTGAAGATGCTACAAGCTTATCCAGAGGGGTCAAAGGTAATGGTGGCGATGCTAGCACCTCATTGTCATTTGTCGGTGTGGCTGCAGCAGATGCTGGTGGAGGTTGTCCTGTGGTTGCTGGGAAATCTTCTGGCGGATCATCTGGCCATCCAAATGACTCTTTAGTTTTGCCATACACTTTAATGGAATCCACCATTGTGACATTGTTTGGGTCCTGTGAGGCACCAACTACAAAAAAGAAAATTTATAAAAATAATATTACCGAACTAATATTGCTCAAAATGTTATCATATTTATTATTACTTATCAGTTATTTGGTTCTCATGCCATGTATCGTACCTTTGTAATCATTAATAGTTGAGAATTTATATAAAAATGAATTATTAATTATTGTTAATGATTGGTGATTTGCAGAACACACAGTACAAACTGTCTTTTCTGCTATTATTATTAATTTAAATGCATACAACCAACAAAATATTATTCCTAATTAAGATAGGCATAATGAAAAATTTAATCAATGTATTAAATTTAATTTACTATCAAATATTATTAAATGTTGTTAAATTTTATTGATACAATAAAAAGCTTGCCATCCCCAAACCAGAGTACTGTCGCTAATGTTAAACTGATTAATTAGCATATAAATGTGGTAGTATTGTATACTTTAGTACAGAGAAGCTGTAATACTTTTACTTATAATTTTGGCAAAATTAAGTCGATTCCAGTAAATGACCTATGATTTTAAAAGTTATAATGTGGGGAATATGTACATTATAAAGTATATTTTCTTGTTTTGATCACAGATGCCAGTTTTAGCATGACAAGCCCCATATAGGAAAATCAACAATAACAGTAACACAAAATTAAGATTTAAAATACAAGTTAACAATTACTTACCAAATAATGTGAATTTCTTGTCGGCAGTGAGAGACTCATCTCGTGTAAACGGCATATCGTACCAACGATTACGGAGCAATGACGCCTGTAAAATAAGTTTAATTTATTATTTGACTGGTTTTTTTCTTTGCTACAAATAAATAATACAGAATAATTATAGTTGAGATCAGTATTGTTACAATAATACAATAATAATAATAATACAATAATTATTGTTACAATAATATGTTTAAAACATGTTGACAACTTCAAGCAAGACAGTAAATTTACCTGTGTGGAACGGCCAAAAACCTCCAGGTAGGATGGTGCCTTCTCGATGAACTGGGTACCAACATGAACTCTGACCCCTACCATTACCATGGAGCTGTTGTTGTTTGTGATTTGAATGGAAAATCCATTAGGCTGAATAAAAAGAAAATAAATGTTGTTAGGTAAAATGGAAACTATAATGAAGAAACAAATTATTGATGTTGTGTTGGTAGTGGTTTGGTTGCATAGCACTCAACTATTTTCAAGATTAACCACAGCTATATACAAGCACCATTTTTCATAGTGATGTCTATGCTGATCGTTAGTATCACACATTTAACATTTTCATTGTTGCTTATTTATTCTAACTTTCGAAAGTATTCTAAGTTTTGAAGTCCAATAATTTCATGTTCATAATAAATTTTATCTTATCATTTGAACTAAACTACAGTATGAGACACATATTTCTTTTAGTCAAAAAACCAGCTTCTTCTGTTTACCTTTGTACTGGCAACATATGTGCCTGTTGTATTCAGTCTGTGTTTTACTTGTTGTACATTGTAAACCTGGAGCAGGTCATTTCCCCCAAATTCAACATCATTCATCGCTTGACAATTCTCAAAGAAATCTACAGGAAATGAGACCTGACCTGTAGGTCGACCTGTTGTAGACATATTTAAAAAAAAAATCACATGGTGATTATGTACATAATAACAAAATGTGACAATAAAACACTAGAATGATATTAACTACAAGCAAAGTTAATACTTGTCACTTGGCCCAGACACAAGTCAAACAGCATACACATTTTTTTGAAAAAGCAAGCCGACTACCTACGTTTGAGTCACTTAATATGACCCTTTCATCCATGACATACTTGTAAAAATTAGGACCAATCCATATTCAACAAATTGCTTATTTTGTGCACTTTTTCCTCAACAATTGTTTGCAAATTGATAATGCAACTAACCAGATTTGGTAGTCTTCTTCTTCCTGTAAGGCTTCAGCGTATTTATAGCACTAGGTGTCTGGAACTTGGAGGATAACCAATAGCTGGTGTTATCGATGTTTGCCATGTAGATGCGCAAGCTGCCATCCTCACACAAGAGGATCAGGGTTGTCCGCTGCTGGTCTGATGATGAGGTGTGTCTGATAGCAACCATGTCTTGCACCTACATATGATAACCATAGGAACATGAAATTTAATGCATTTGATCTCCTGAAACTGTTGGCAATCCAAATGTACCTCATATGTGATGTGTTCCCAGTTACATAATTTTTATTTTTATAATGCATTTTTAATTAATAATTAAATTTAGAATGGTAAATAGCATATTGGAATGGTTGGCTTTCAATCCCAATTAAGCTACTGAACTTTATCAGTGTTAGCACAACTGAAAAAAAAAACACCTTCAAACCTCAATATGCATGCACAGTTTACGCATGAATGCACATACATTGAATAGTTAAAAAACATGCTTATCAACCTAAACATAATAAATATCTAAATATGTTGTACAGGCAAGAAAGAAAGCTTATACTAATCACATGATTATCACTATATGAGAAAACATACCTTTGCTTTTGCTGGAAGTGCCTTGACCTCTTGGACCATGACACGTTCTGGTTCGACCATCAGGATGACTGGGATGCTAGAGGTCTGCGTAAGAGCACATACGAGACCAGGATGGTTGACCACCTCACTCCACTGACACAAGGCTGGAGGGTTGGACTTATTACCACCATTACTGTGAAAAAGAAGAAAACAATTCATAAACCATGAAAGAAAAAAATAATATAATAGACTTAAGAATTTGATTATACTTCACTATAAATTAAATATTGGCCTACAAAATAAAAATAAATATATACAATATTCATAAAGAACAAAAACAGGTAATAATTGCAATGTTATAATAATAAGACCACATAAAATATAACTTTGATAGTAGGGCTCTTATACAGTTATGACTTCACAGTACCAAGCACAATCTTGAATATAAGCTTACCTTTTCAACGTGACTGCAAATGGAGTTGTAATCTGGCTGAAATCCTTGCTGATGGCTGCGATAAAGTTCTTGCCTTGCGAGTAGCTAAAGAATAAGAGCTGCAGGGTATGCGAATAATAGCAGGACACACCACCACCAAATGTATTCCCATTAGTTTCCTAGAAAAAGTAGAGAAAAATTATAACACAATGGCTGTATTCGACTGGTTGTTCTTCGTTAAACCATGCCTACCTGCGCAGTGGTAAAATCCTTAAATTTCATTGTTAACAAAGTCTATTTTACAAACCACTTGAAGGAAAATAATATTCCACAAAAAATCATAGTCAACGAAATTATCATTTGGCAGGGCCGGCGGAACGTTTTTCAAAGTGGGGGGGCCCCCACTTATAAGCAGGTGCGTAACAGGGGTCTTGCGTCGGGGGGTGGGGGGCAAAGGTAATACTTTTCCCGGTTAGTAATTTATGACTTGGTGTGATAACTCCCAACCCCCATATAGAAAACAATACGGCACAGGGCTTATTTTATTATTAATATAGGCCACACACGTGTGTTTGAAACTAAATATAAGCATTTTCATCGTGGTTTTATATATTACAATCATAGGCCTATTCTTTCACCATCATTACACATTGAGGCCCTTCTTTTAGGTAAAACGATCTATCTTAAATTTCTTTCTTGAGTTTGGGACTATGTGTTATAACTTCGAAAGTAAAGGAGAGCAAGCACAAGCTTCAACATTAAAAAATGCGCGCGAAGCGCGCGAAAATTTTTTTTTTTTTAATTCTAATTTCGTCGCAATTAATCAAAACTCCCTAGAATGTGCTATTTTTAGAGGAAATTGGCCTACCTCAACAAGAAATGCTCTTATGTTATATATGGCCACACTCGTTTTTTAAAACTGAATATAAGCATTTTCCTTATGGCTTTATTTATTACAAACATATTCTTTCAACATCATTACACATTAAGGCCCCTCTTTTAGGTAAAACGATCTATCTTAAATTTTCTTTCTCGAGTTTGGGACTATGTGTTATAACTTAAGGCAAAGGAGAGCAAGCACAAGCTGTAACATTAAAAAATGCGTGGGAAGCGCGCGAAAAATCTTTGTTTTTTAAATTCTAATTTCGTCGGAATTGATCAAAACTCCTTAAAATGGGCAATTTTTAGAGGAAATTGGCCTACCTCAACAAAATATGCGATTTAAAATTTGAGGTTTTCAGGCACTTTTCCGGGTGAAAAAGGCATTCAATGAGGAAAGATTTTTTTTCCACAGATGGATATTTTCCCCTTGTCCCCCGGTGGTTACGCCACTGCGGAGAATATCTGGTGGCTTAGATCAAATGCGCTATGGACACTTTTTGAAGTGGAGAAGGGGTTGCAGGCCGGGGTATTGTGATATCTGTTCATTATAACTTCCTTTTTATTCTTGTCTTTATTTTTCTATTCTCTTTTTCTTTTCTTTTTTCCTTTTCTTTTCTTTCCCCTTCTTTCTCTTTCCCTCCCTCTCCCCGCTTTCTTTTCTCTTCTTACAGCCCGGTACGACGGCTTGGTCAGCCCGGTAAAAACCGGGGACAGTCTACCCACCTGCCCCCGCCTGTTACGCCACTGCTTATAAGATGAATGTGAATATGAATCATGCAGATCTGTAATCAAATCTAGGTGGTGGGGTCAACATTCCTCCCCCGGGAAAATTTCTAGATGGCGGGAAATGAGCTTTCCCGACTTCTGACGTGTCTTTAATTACTTTTAAGTTCTTCAAAATTCAAGGTCTTCCCATCTTGAAAACGGTCAGGTAATTTTT